GTCTAGATTTCCCCTGACCTCATCTGCACTAAGACAACAAGGTGCAGACCATTCTGGCCAATTGCTGGATGCACCAACAGAGGAGACAGTCTTAAGGGGGATACAATTGACTACAATACCAAATCCAGATCACGTCCAGGTGAAAAAAAACCTACCTTAGACTTCTCCACCCAATGCTCACTCAACACACATCTACTACTGTCATCTCTTACAACTTCCAAATCCCAAGATCATGATCAATGGTAAGGTCAACCACTTCCTTCTGCCCTTGTCCACTTAGTTTTCCTTCCCTTCCCTAAACCCCAACATGCTCAACATAGATCTTAGGAAAAAGCTCCCCAGGCTTTGTGCCAAATTTCCAGTGCCCTCATTTCTGGGCAACACACTGAATAGTCAGCCAGCTCAAGCACTCCATTGTATCTGTTGTGGAGCCTCCCTATTTTGCTGGCCCACTACTGTCTTTACTCCCTCAAGTCAGAGGACCTCAAACTCAGCACATGCAGTATAACTTGTCAGATCATCTGGCATGGAAGAGGTGAAAGACTTGGAATGGTAGTAGCAGTCAAGAGGGTGGCTCTGTCAGGTGGAAACAGAAATAGGATGAGACCATACTTCTTGTATTGCTGCCAGTACCTCAACATCCTAGCCCCTCCCAGGGCCCCATTTACCTGCTCCTTGCATTTTTCAGTTTTGTTTCTACTTTATCCACATCACTTCCATGAGATCCACCTAATAATTCCTTGATTTCCCAGGTGCCTTATTAAACTCAGGATTCACCCGTTTCATACACTAGCCACTGTGCATTTAACTCATAGTAAAATACCGTCTCTATCTTCAGCTCACCCTTCATCTCTAAACTGCTTTCTCTCAAACAGGTCATCCCAACCTTTCCCATTTCCGTCAAATCTCTTTAACCTTTCTTGGGCTCTTGGTGCTCCTTCCTATCCATCACTCCCTGCACCATTCACCCAAGGGGGCAGTTTCTCTTCCTTATCACACCTCGTACATTGTCCAGCATCTAGGCCACCTCTCAGTTTTACTTCCAATCCAAACAGAGATAAAAAAGTCAAAATGAACAGGATTCTCTCTGACTCCACACCAGGAATTGGGGAAATCTCACATCTTTATGCTTTCTTGCCACTAATCTCATTTCCACCACCACCCCCTCGCCGCCATTTGTTCAAACTGACTCTCGTTGGCCTATTGAAAACCGTAATCCCATGCTTTGTGTCCCTCACCCCGTGAGGAGGGGATAAAAACGCCCGATTGCAGCTCTTCATTTTCTACCAGGGTTTCTCCATCACCAGCATCAACCCGACATCAACACTGAAGCTGCAGGAATTCACTCACCCCCAGTTCGCAAGCAGCAGTCACCAGCTCTCCTGTGGAAACAACAGCAACATTCATGTGACTGAGAGGAGCAACAAAAACAACGCCACCCCATTCCTCACACACCCACCCCCCGGCCCAGCACTGACCAGAGTCTCCCCCGGGCACCGTGCGCTGTACTGTCCGCAGATAGACGGCGGACAAACCACCGAGGAGCAGCAACGGGCCGAAGCCCGAACCCGGACCCCCGCCGTTTCCAGGGAAACCCATGGAAACCAGGGATCCACAGCACTTCCGTGAACACAGCACTATGGGTAGTATTGGACCAACGAAACAAAACGTACTGTAAGGGCCTGATTTTGTTCCTGATTTAAAGCATCCGCAGTTCTTTCGGTTTTTATTTGGTACTGTAAGGGCCTTCACAGCGCTTCCAGTGGCACGCCGTAACATCCCAAACAGCAGCCTGGCAATTACCCAATCTGACAATTCCAGTGAGGGTGACACTATTGCCTTGATTCTGAGCAGGATTAAAAACATCAACAGAGCCCAGCTAAAGAAAGTTTTGAGCTAACTAAGTATTAGGATCTGGCTGTTGTCACTGATTCTCACCTATAGGTGCCACTAGCTAGGTAAGGTATCACTTCTCCTTGCTCATTAATAAATCGAAAGACTGTGGAAGAGAGACTGACAGCCAGAGTGATCCTGATGCAGGCCTCAGTTATCTCAGACCTGGGGATAACCACTTGGGCCAAGCTCAGATGCAGACTCCCTGAGACGGTGTTCACACCCCAATGTATTCATTCACTGAAGATCAGTAACGTGGTCCTGAAATATGGCCAATAGTTGAAGAGCAGCGGTCTTAAATAGAATCCTCCTAAGGTTTCCTGCATGACAGGTGCATTTAGCCACTTAATTCGATACCAAGGAACAGTTGTGTGCATGAGATTCAAATCAGGCTATGGCTTCTAACAATATCCCAGAAGTAGTACCAAAGACCTGTGCCCCAAAACTAGACACGCATCTCTCCAATCTGCTCCAGTAGAACTGCTACACTGGCAATAAGTGGCATTTATTCATCAGTCCAACTTGCTCACCAATGTTCACTTTGGATTCTGCCAGGGCCACTCAACTCCAGACCTCATTATGGCCTTGGTCCAATGGATCAAAAAGTCTAATTGCAGTGGTGAGGTAAGAGTGACTGCTGTTCATATTAAGGTAGCATTTGACCATATGGCATCAAGTAGAACTAGGACAAGTCACCACCAGTTGGAGTCATATCAAGCACAAACGAAGGAGGGTGTGACTGTTGGAGGTCAATCATCTCACCACTCCACCTCAGGACATCTCTGCAGCAGTTTTTCAGGACTGTGATCAATAACTTTTCCTCCCTCCCCTGGTCAGATGTGGAGAGGTTCCCTAATGATTGTGCAATGTGCTGCACCATTCACGATTCCTTAAGTACTGAAGTAGTCTATGCCCATATGCAATAAGATTTACACAAAATTCAAGCTCATACAGATGAGTAGTATGTAACAATTGTGACACATGTATGCCAGTAAATAATGATTTCCAACAAAAGCGTATCTAATTGTCTCCCATTGATATTCAGTGACATTACTATCACTGAATCCTTCACCATCAACATTCTAGTTTTCATCATTGACCAGAAACTGAACTGGACCAATCATAAATACTTTGGTAACAAGAGCAGGTCAGAGGCTAGGAATTCTGCAGCAAGTAACTCATGCCCTCACTCCTCAAAGTTTGTCCAACATCTGTAACACACGTCAGGAATATGATGAAATACTCTTCACTTTCCTAGATACACACAGCTCCAGCAACACTCAACAACATCCAGGACAAAGAAGCCTCCTTGTTTGGTACCCTATCTACCAGCTTAAGCATTAGTTTCCTCTTCCACCAAGGTACACTGGCAGTAGTATGTACCAGCTATATGATGCACTGCAAAAACCTGTCAAGCCTCCTCTGCCAGACCCTTCCAGACTTGTGCTCTTGCCACTTGAAAAGGGCAGCAAATGCATGGGAACAGCACTTTCTGCAAGTTCATTTCCAAGCATCACACAATCCTTACTTGAAACGTCTTGCATTGATTGATTTTCACTGGGTCAAACTCCTGAAAATCCACCCCTAACAGAATTTTGGAGGTATCTACACTATGTGGACTACAGTAGTTCAGGGATATGGTATTATGGATGGCCTGCAAAGCATTTGCTTCCTCAAGAAAGATAAATGCAAAATATTAATTTAATACCTCAATTATGCCCCTGCCTCTGTGCATAAAAACCCTTTTTGGTCTATATTTAAGCAACTCCTTCTTTTGTCTCCCATTTAACTTCATAAATGCCAATAAATGACTTTAAGATTCCCTTATGTTAACTGCCAATCTCTTTTCATACTCTCTTTTTGCTTCCCTTATATGGAACATTTTACATTCAGCTGGTGCTCCGTTGTATTATCTAATTTACATCTTTTACTCCATAATTTACTCCTCCTTCATCTCAATCTCCATCTCTATCATCAAGGCAGCTCTTAATTTGTTTGGCTTGGTTTTCACCCGTGTGGAAATAATCCAGGCACAGTAACGGGGGTATATCTCTTCTATGAAGGTATAACATTAGTCAGTTAAATTGAAATCAAAGATTGGCAAGGAAAAACTTGGGTCAGTTTCATTCTTATACAGCTCGGCCCCCCCAACCAAGTTGACTTTCCATCAGTTAATTATTCTTGTTCTGGATCATCCCTTGCTCTTTTTGCTGAAGAAGCTAAACTCGCTGTTTGATGTTTGCTGCCTCGAATAAGCTTAGCGCTGTCCCTTTAAGAGGTGGCTGCAATGGGAACTGGGCGGTTGGCTGTTGCTCTGTGCGGCTGCGCGCTGTAGAAGCGGTGCGGGCCCTTTAAGAGGTTTTACCTGGCGGCCACACCTGACGGCGGGGACTCGGCTTGTGAGAGGGGAGAGCCCGGTAGTTAGTACCACCCAGAGCTCAGGTAAGACCGGGAGGGCCCAGGGAGATTGGTGTGACTCGGGTAATCCAACCACATTTTTCCCCCAAGCCCGGCGAGGAACCCGATAGCTCGGAGCCGGATGGCAGGCCTGTCCTGTGGCTCAGTTGCAGAGCAACGACCGGGGATTGAGTTAGGTTTACTGCAGTCACGGGAAATGGCAGCTGGCCTGGTTGCCGTTAATCAGGCCAAACTCCGTATGAATGTTTGTGTTGATCAGGACTTACTAATCAGCTTGATAATAGATAATCACTTGGGTAATGGTTAACTATTTGGGTAATGGATTGCAAACCAGGTTAGTAATCAACTGGATAATATAACCAGCTTAACGTATTTTTAAATCAACTTGCCCAGAAACGTGGATACACGCCTCTGGAGTAGATGGGATTTTTGAACCTGGGCCTCTTGGTTGGTGGGTACGGACCACTGCACCACATGAACCCTCCTAGTTTTGTAATAAAGTAATTAGGAAGTTGTTGACATCATTGTAATCCCAACTTTGTGCTTTTCTTTTACAACCCCATGTATGAATTCTATCAACAGGTTTTTGCCCTTGCCACCATGCTAAAAGTGGCCTTATGATATGTAACTGTAATGAAGATTAGTTGTCCTGTTTTGCTCTTTGTAGCTTTTTGAAGGATTAACATAGAATTTTACTCCTTCTTTACTGAACTGAGAGAGGTGGAGGACAGGGGGCCTGTACTTAACAATTGTGTTTCTAGCTCACAAATCACGGTCTGACAGGTGCTTAAAATGGCATTTTGTTTTTCTTGCTTCTTTCCTGTAACTTCAGGTGATTTCTTCTCCCACGTGCCCCCACCAACCCCCTATCTAACTGTAGCTCCTTCTTTTTTCTTATCTACAAGCTGCCTTTGTGCCATCTGAAAATACAGTATTGGCTTTTCATGTATGCTATACCTAGCTGTACTTCACCACTATCTCTTTTCTAGATTGCTCTAAGTTACGACATTCAGTACTGAATGAGTAAATTTGTTTGTTTTTCCCCAATTGAAATTTGGAAGACAGAAACCAGAGAACTAATGTATTAGCAAACCTGGATACAAGATAAGTGGGGTGCACTTGTGCAGGGATGCACAATGCCTGCAAAATGACACAGGTTAAGTGAAGGAGTAACAAGATGGCACATAGTGTATAATGTAGGGAAATGAGATTATTCTACTTGCTTTTAAATACAAAAGTATACTTTTTACAAGTGTGAAACTATGTTGATTACTTTTCCAAGAAATTTGGCTGTACAAGGCATGTCAGATGTATGGCATGTAGATAATAGAGGAAACAATGAGACACATAGCATGTTAGTATTTGTATTCAAATTCCCTTTGCAACAAGAATCAAAAATGTCTTGTTATGATTATAGAGGGCTGTAGCGAGACCAGACCTGGAATACTTTGCGCAGCTTTGGCCTCCATGTTTGAGGAAGAATGTATTTGAATTGAAGGTGGTTCAGCTGTTCTGTCCTTGCCCCTGGAGGGAGGAGAGTTTTTGATACTCACAACACTATTGCTAAAGTTGGGTCTAGTATGTGCACTCTGATCATGAAGATATGTAAAAATCTTCCTTGCTAAATGATGTTTCAATCGTGTCTGTTATATTTGTGTTCTCAACTTGTGTCAAGAGTGCAGAAGAATGCCAAGCTAATCAAAATTGATTCAAAAGAACAGCACCTTTGTATTATGATAAAAGATGCTGGAAATGCTCAGCAGATCTGGCAGTATCATTTCTGACCATGACCTTTCAGCAGAACTTGCCTGAAAAGCATTTTTTTTAAAATGGCAGAGACAATAAAATCCCAAAGTTATCTTGAATTTCAAACAAATGGAGTAGCTATCAGATTGATATCAGTTCGTGTTTCTTTAACAGTCAGGGAGTGAAAACCAGGGAATCAACAGTTTTATTTGTTGTGATCTACGTACATTGCTGAAGCAGTCAAGGGACAGTAGAATCTCAATTTTTCGTTCTCCATGTGTGCTTTTACATTTTGCCAACAGTAATCTTCCTAGTTCTTTTTAGTGATCTGGAGGATATTTGGTTAGAGACAAAAAACTGTAGATGCTGGAGTCCGAGGTAGACAAACAGGAAGGAGGAAAAACACAGCAAGCCAGGCAGTATCTGGAGGAGAAGTCAATGTTTTGGGTATTACCCTTCTTCAGGACCAGATGCCGGGGTAGGGGGAGCTGCACGTAAAGGCGGGGAAGAGGGAGGATAGTGGAATGGTGGTGACAAGTGGATGGTTTGTTGATGGGGTTCTGTAGAGGATTTGGAAGTTTTATTTCACCATGTCTTCCCAATATTTCTCAATCAACACCCCTCCTTCAGCCTAAACCTGGACATTGTCCAGTCCTTGCTGCATTTGGGTATGGATAACTCTCCTTTGAACAAAGAGCCATGAATAGTGCTGCCCTTTGCCCACTCATCGGTAGATATTCTGTTGGCTGGAACAGGGTGTCTAAGACCCCGTAGACTCCTCAACCAGTGTACACAATGTTAATTTACCCAGGCATCTTAGCATGTATCAGGAAAGGACTACACAGCACAAGTCTGCAGTCAGTGAACCAGGTCACAAATTTATTTGGAAACAACAAAGGTTAAGAGTTAAACTTTACACTTCGAACAACTCTATATTTGTAACTATCCAATTCTTTGGATTCTGAAACTTCCAGATACTCATAACTTTTGCTAGCCTGTTGAAATGTTCAGTCTGTTTCTCTCTTCATGACATGATTCTCATTGTGGTCAGAGGGTGAGCTGCTGTGGTCACTGCTGTATACCAACGTACCTCTAGGTTGGTTGGAGAGTAGGGTTACCCCGAGTCCTGCTGGGCTAGGTTCTTAGACCCTCCTAGCTACCTTCTGGAGTTTTCCAAGGACTTGATCAATCAGAGGTTTCAAATTTATTGGCTTTATCACCTTGAAATGCTGCCAATGGTTCTCGATGGCTTGCTTAACAGCGACCCTGCTGTCTGCTTTTGGGCCTGGGATTGTGGCTTCATCCCAGAATGTATTACTGGTCTTTTGTCGTGGTGAAGCATGTCTGCCCCGTGCATCTAGTGGTGTTTGTTTGTCAAGAAGGGTTGAATTGCCCTTTCACACTTGCTGATCTGTTTCTGGTTCCTGTGCTTGAATCTTGCAAGGACTTGTACCCTAGGCTGAATTGGCTCTTCTGTCTGTCTAGGCTCAGGCAGTCCCAGCATACTTTGCTCATTGGCCAGTTTTGCTGCCCTGTTTTCAGTTGCTGTGCCTGTATTTGTGGCCTCCCTTCTTAATGACTTTGGTTTCACTAGAGCAGTCACAGGCTGTACAATCCCCATATCTGACTTTGTGGTGGAAGGAAGGTAATTGATCAAGCATCTGAAGATGGTTGAGCCTTGATCACTGCGCTGAGGAACTTTTGAGGTCTCATGTGGTGCAGTGTTAATGTCCCTACCTCTGAGCCAGAAGGCCTTTTGGTTGATGTCACATCTGCTCCAGAGGTGTAAATAACATCTCTGAACAGGTTGATTTTCAAAAGTATCTACAGTTTCCAAACAAAAAAATACGCTGAGGAGTTCCAGCAGTGATATCCTTAGATGGAGATGATTGATCTCCAATAGCCATAACCACCATCTTTTGTACTTGGGATGACTCCAGCCAGCAGAGTTACCTCCGATTCCCGTTGACTCCAATTTTTTGCTCTTGATTTACCTGGTCAAATACTGCCTTGATGTCAATGGGAATCACTCATGCCTCACCTCTAGAATTCAGCTCTTTCTCCTTGGAATATTTTGTATTTAATAAAATGTATTATTTTGAGTAAGTTTTAGCTTGCTGTGTATGCTGTAATTATGAAAAAAATTTGTTGGCTAGAATCTGTCCCATTGCATCTTTGTAAATCACGTTTGTTTTGCCATTTGTAATATTTGTTGGAAATGTATCTCCATGAATGATGTGACTTGACTGTGTTCCTCAAGCATCAACCTTGACTTTTTTTTTTTAAAAGTCAAGTCCTGGAGTAGGACTTGCACCTGCAACTTTGTGACAGAGGCAAAAGTGCCCCTAACCAACTCCTCCACTTTTGAGTTTGGAAGCGCTTCTTTTGTAATCTGTCTTCACTTTCAGTTGTTCCCACCCCAGTTATTATAATTTAACTCCCCTTTGGCACCTTTATCATGCATTGTATAATTCGAAGAGCTTCCATCAGCCAAACTGCTAGAAATTTTACAGTTTGTGAACAACATAATAAATGTTTCTATATTCCACCAGAGGCTTTCCTTGAGGTGCAAGTTCCCTGATCAATTCACATGGGGATTAACTTCATTCGAAAGAACACCGGGTGCAGTATTAGGTTTTGTGAGGCTGTAGAGTCGTAGTCTGTTTCGATACTGTATGATTCTCTTTGGTTCAACTAGTCCATGCTCACCATGTTCCCAAACTAAACTAGCCCCACCTGCCTGCATTAGGCCCACATCCCTCCAAGCCGTTCCTATTCATGAACTTCTCCAAATGTCTTTTAAATATTGTAACTGTACCTGGATCCACCACTTCCTCAGGCAGTTCATTGAATATATGAACCACCCTCTGTGTGGAAAAAAATTGCCCCCAGGTTCCCTTTAAATCATTTTGCTCTCACCTTTAAAAGTATGCTCTTTAGTTTTGAATCCCCACCGTAGGGAGAAGGCCCTTGCTATTCACCTTGTCTGTGCCCCTCATGATTTTATAAATTTCTATAAGGTCACTCCTCAACCTCTTATGCTCCAGGGGAAAGAAGTCCCAGCCTATTTTTATAACTCAAACCCTCCATTCCTGGCAAAATCCTAGTAAATCTTTTCTGAACCCTCTCCAATTTAATATCTTTTCTGTAGCAGGGTGACCAGAACTGTATGTAGTACTGCAAAAAATAGCCTCACCAACGTCCTGTACAACTTCAACATGACATCCCACTTCTTAATATTACTGTGTATCTGGAAGCACAGCCTTGCAGTCCCTGTCTGAAATGCTGGTGCTGTTGTCACAAGACATGTTTGGGCCTGTGCAGTATTGTTCCTAGTTAGTAAGCTATTTGTGACTGGCTTATTGGTATCCTGAGCTTTGGAAAGTACCTGCTTGAACTCTGAGAAACAATCACTGGGCTCTTCTGAGCATTGCAGCTTGGAATTCCCAAATAAACTGCTTCTCCTGACATTTCTTACCTTGTAAAATTGTGTTTAAATATCAGGCAGTTCAGTACAAACTGTGGGGCTTTTTTTAAAAAAATAAAAATAAATAAATAATATTACCCAAGACAGAATTTCAAACACTGAAATAGCAGTCCTGCACATTGCAGAGACAGACTATTGCACAGAGTCACTCCTGTGTTGCCTCCCTGTGGGCATTTACAATCCATCTCTCAATTCGATATGCCAAATATTTTAGTTTCCAACAGGGATTAAGTTGATTATATTGCTTGATTCATTTAGTACAAGATTGGTTCTGCTTTTAAGTTAGAATTACATAGTCATAGAATTATACAGCACAGAAATTGATCCTTCAGTCCAACTTGTCCATGTCAACCAGCTATCCTAAAACTATTTCGTCCCATTTGGCCCATATCCCTCTAAACCCTTCCTATTCGTATACCCATCCAGATGTCTTTTAAATGTTGTAATTGTCCCAGCCTCCACCACTTCCTCTGGTAGCTCATTTCAATCACACATACTGTCTGGGTGAAAATGTTGCCCTTCAGTTCCCTTTTAAATCTTTCCCCTCACGTTAAACGTATGCCCTCTAGGTTTGGACTCCCCGATCCCTTGCAAAAAGACCTTGGCTATTCACCCTATCCTACTCTAAATCTCTATATAACCCCCTTAGCCTCCACGCTCCTGGGAAAATAGCCTCAGTGTATTCAGCCTCTCCCTATAGCTCAAACCTTCCAACCCTGGCAACATCCTTGTAAATCTTTTCTGAACCCTTTTGAAGTTTAACAACATTCCCCCTGTAGCAGGGAGACCAGAATTGCACACAGCATTCCAATAGTGGCCTAACCAATGCCCTCTCCAGCCACAACAGGACTTCCCAACTCCTATAGTCAGTGAAGGCAAGCATGTGAAATGCCTTCTTCACCACTCTGTCTACCTGTGACTCCACCTTCAAGGAACTATGTTCCTGTACCTCTCTGTCCCTTTGTTTGGCAACACTCCCCAGGGCCCTACCATTAACTTTAAGTCTTGCCCTAATTTCCCTTGCGTCATGTTGCAAAATGCAACATGTCACATTTAGCTAAATTAATGTCCATCTGACCAAGGTTCCTTTGTACTCGGACATAATCTTCCTCACTGTTCACTACACCACCAATTTTGGTGTCATCTTCAAATTTAATTACAATACCTCTTATATTCACATGCAAATTGTTGATGAAAAGCTGTGGACCCAGCATGATCCTTGTGGCACACCACTGGTCACAGGCCTCCAGTCCAAAAAGAAACCCTCCATCACCATGTTCTTTTTCCTTTCTCAGAGCCAGTTTTGTATCCAGTTGGCTAGTTCTCCCTATATTCTGCGTAATCTAACTTTGCTAACCTGTCTGCCATGTGGAACCTTGTCGAATGCCTTGCTGAAATCCATATAGACAATGTCTGCTGCTCTGCCTTCATCAATCTTCTTTTCATCGCTTCCAAAAAAAACTCAAGTTATTGAGACAAGATTTTCCATGCACAAGGTCATGTTGACTCTCCTAATCGATTCTTGTCTTTCCAAATACGTGTAAATTCTGTCCCTCTGAATTCCCACCTAACCCCCCAACAACTTGCTCATCACTGACTTCATTCTCACCAGTCTATTGTTCCCTGGCTTTTCCTTACCATCTTTCTTAAATAATGGCACCACATTAGCCAGCCTCTAGTTTTCTAGCACCTCATCTGTGGCTATCGATGATACAGATTTCTCAGTAAGGAGCCCTTCTAGCTTTTAGTCATTAGTTCTTCCTTGACCTGATGCAATTTATCTTTGTTTTGTCAGCAGCATCTTCAAGTTTTAACTTTTTTGTCTCGTGTTAGGAGATAAAGCCCTGTAGTATAGGCATTGCACTTGTAACTGAAGATTGCTATACGAACTAATGCTGCTCCTTTCTCTGTGCCGTTAGTCCATGATAAACGTCGATGTATTTACTGAAGTGGAAATACATGTCCTGCACGGAGTGTCTGAGTGTCTGAATGCCTACTTAAACTTGTGAACCACTGAAAAAGAAATCAGATGAATCATTGATCATTTGTTTTTCATCTACAGTGACCATGATGCAAATTGACTTGATTTAACTGTCTATACTGATGAACGGTTGGGTCAGAGTGAGTATTTTGCTGTAATTTAATTCTACTCCCAGCTGGCTAGTCATTTCATTGTGCCGCATTCTTGGTGAGTAACTTGTGTTACTATGTTAGGAATTTTCCACTCTGCAATCTATAGCAGATTGAGCAATTTTCCTGTTGCCTAAAATGCACTTAGAATCCTGTGAAGTGAAATTAACAGCAGTGCAGTCCAAGGGGGAAGAAGGCAGAGTTGATGGTTGTGGTAGTTGTGCATGGCTGATGGAACAGGTGACTCTGGATCATATGTCCTTTCTTTGTGTAAAGTTTTCTTGCAAAGCAGTTTAAATTGTGATGGAGGCACTCACTAGTAGGCCTTCTGTTTTGTTTGAAGGTTTTTTTTTAAAAAGTGAAAACTGCAATGAGGGAGGAGAACAAAATCCTTTTTGGTGCCTACTTCCTTTTGGAAAATCATAAAAGGAAAGGTCTTGTTTTCTTGCTGAGCTTCCAGTTTAGCCAACTTTCACACATTTAGTGTGTCATCCATCATTAACTGAATAAAGTATTCTACAGGCACTTAAAGGAAAATTTTAGTTAGGAATGGGATCACTGAAAGGTAATCTTGGATGAGCAATGATCACAAAGTGGCAGAAATATTCTTCTCATTCAATCTTTGCCTGGAAATGCATTTTTAGAATCATCAGTCATGAGTAATACAGCGTGGAAACAGACCCTTCAGTCCAAACTGGTTCATGGTGCCCACTCAGCTAGTTCCAATTGCCCACACTTGGTCCATAATACCTGTAAACTCTTCCCATTCATGTACCTTTTTAAATGTTGCTATTGTACCTGCCTCAATCACTTTCTCTGGCAGCCCATTCCATATACTCACCACTCTGTGTGAAGAAGTTGCCCCTCAGGTCCTTCGTAAATCTTCCTCCTCTTACTTTAAACCTATGCCATCTAGTTTTCAATTCCCCATCCCTGGGAAAAAGACACCAGAATGTTCATCCTAACTATGCCCCTCATGATTTTATACGTCTCAATAAGGTCAACCCTCATTCTCCTACGTTCCAAGGAATAAAGTCATTACCTGAAGAGCATCTCCCTGTGACTCAGGCCTGTTAGTCCTGGCAACATGAAGTTTGCTAATGAATCTTTCCTACAACTTTGCAAGTTTTTCCCAGAACAAAAATCAAATTCTCCCACTCATATGGCAAAGAGAGGAACAACTGTTTGTGTAGATTAGTTAAACCAAATGGACAATGAAGTGCAGTGTATTCGTTGTGATCATCTATCCTTATTCTAAAAACTGTCACTTTTAGTATCTGACAAGAGCTTTTAGAGCTCTAGATTTTAACAATAGCGATGTGGAGTAAAAGCAAGAGGGTTATGTAAGACCTAATTCTAGCACTTGTTAGACTTCAGCTGGAGTAATGTGTAGCATTCTGGGTAGTATGTTATAGGAAAAATCTGAATGCGTTGTGGAGAGAATAGAAGAGCTTTAGGATTGGTTTGCAATTCTAAAACTTCAGTTATGAGGACAGATGGGGGCATTTCGCTTCTGGAGCGGACAAGGTTCAGAGGGCGTTTGTCAAAAGGCTTTCAAATTCATTGGGATGCTGAACAGAGATGTTGAGGAATTGCTCCCATTCATAAAACGATTGGATGTGCCGGTGTAGATTTGATGACTTGCGAGCAATTTTTTTTTTTTTTTTTTTTGCTCTACAGTGAGTGGCTTGTATCTAGAATACTTTGTTTGGAAATGTAGTTGATGCATCAGTGGGCATTGGAAGATTGTTTAATAGAAATAATGTGTAGGGGAAAGCCAGGTGATTGGCACTGAGCACTATGCTCATTCAGAGAGCTTGTGCAGACATGGGCCAGATAGCTGCCTTCTGCACTAAAATAATTCTGAAATTGTGTATTTGAGCAACAGTTGACATCACTGCAACACCATGAGGCTGAGTGTTTCAAGGATAGCATGTTTATAGATGTAGTCATCCCTACAGCGTAAGAATATACAAGAAGAGAAGAAATAGGTAGTCATAAGGAACTCCGTGATGGGCAGTTACTGAAGGAGTCTCCTTAATTCATCTTTTTCCCCACAACTGTGAATATTGAGAGTGATAGTTCCTCTGGGGAGTTTAACCAGAGCCAGGTCTGTGGCAGAACAGATTACTTCATGGTGTAGGGCTTCATGAACAAAGAATTGCAAATCAGTGGTGATGGGTTGTTTATTTTTAGAATTTCTGCAGTTGTTGGGTGCTGATTAAACTTAGTTAGCAGCCGTGTAGGGATCAGGAGATAGTTGTATCAGAAATACCAAAAGGTACAAAATACCAGTTTAAAAATAGCACAAGAGCAGGAAGTAAGTTTTTTAGGTGACGTCAGAGTAAGAAGTTGTGAAGTCTCACCCTGGCTTGGCTCTAAGAACGGAAGTATTGGCTGTTACTGGTTCAGGAAAGATGGGAAAGGATGAAAAGGTGATGAGGCTACTCTATTGGTTTGAAGCACAGTGTTGCAGTATTGCAGAGAGAGAGGATAGACTAGAGGAGTTAAGGATGGAATCCGTTTGGCTAGAGCTAAGGAACAAAAAAATTACAAGTTCCTTGCTTAGTGTTGTGTAGATCATCAACTGGTGGGAAGGATGGAGGGGAGCAAATTACAAATATATTATTAATCATAGTGCAGTTATAATGGACTTTCCTAGCCCATATTTGGATAATTATAGCAGTGTAAGGGGCAACAGTACCTAGAAGGCTTTCAAGAATAATTTCTACAATATTTTCCCTGTCCAGGGAGAAAATACACTTCTTCTAGACTTGGTTTGGGGGAATGAAGTGAGCCAAAAAGATGAATATTTCAGGCGTAGTGATCATTCATCATACAGTCTTGATTGGTAGTAGACCAAGGACACTATAGGGGAAGAATAATTAACAGGTAGAAAGTCAATTTCAATGTGGTAAAAAGGGATCTGTTACAAATAAATTTGGAGTCAATTATGGTGTAGTGATTGTAATGAGGTCAGCCAGGTGGACTTGATGGAATGAGTTCCCTATGGGGCTGGTAGTCTGGTCCAAATCAGGATCCATGGCTGACAGATGAACAGGAGTGTGAGGTTCTGTTCACTTAGCTATCTCTGAGGAAGCTGGATTAGTGTCAAGGACTCTCCATGTAAATGAAGAATGATGGGGTACCAACTTCTGGAGTTACTTCAGGTGGTGCTAAAGGACTAGAAAATCACAAACCTTACATCTTTTTCCAAAAAAAGGGTCAAGCCAGCCAATTTAACTTGGGTGATGGAGAAACTTCTACCAATGATGTAGGGAAAGAAATCATCATCGTCTTCTAGACAAATACAAGTTAGTTAGGGAAAACCAGTCTCCAGTTGAGAGAATTGTTTGGGTTTTTTCTTTTTGAGAAGGCAAGTGTTGCTGTATTGCACGTGAACATTCGAAGGATGCCTTCCAACAAGTTTGCGAGTGATATTAGAACTCGTGCAACGAAAGGGACCAGGACCACACGGACGTGAAATTAGCTGAATGACCAGAAATTGAAAATAATCTGCATTTCTTGGGTTTATGAAACAAAGCAGAAATTACTGGAGAAACTCCAGTCTGGAAGCACCTGTGGAGAGCAAGTAGAGTTTAATGTTTAAAGCCTAGTGACCCTTCAACACAAAACAATTTCAAAATAGTGGCTAATGGATGGTTTTTGGACAGGGAGGTTTGTCGTAGAGCTCCACAGGACTGCATGTTGGGACCCTTGCTCTTCCTGACTGAAACCTTGGTGTATTTGGCACAATAACCAAGCTGGTAGATGATTCAAACTTAGAAACATTGAACTGTGTGGAGGATAGAGTGTATGCTTTATCAACCAGTATCCTCGGTTTTGTTAATAGACACACCAAGTATGAGAACAGGGAAGTTTATTTTACTTGTCCAGGACACCAGCTTTGCATCAGCTGAAGTGATGCCTGGAGTTCTAGGTGTTGCACTTCAGAAAAGATCCAAAGGCATTGGAGAGAGTGCAGAAGAGATTTGAGAGAATGATTCCAAGGATGATGAGCTTCCATTGTGAAGATAGATTGGAGATGTTGGGACTGCTTTCCTGGGAGAAGAAAAGCCATAAGGTGTTTCGGTCAGGCAATGAAATGTGATCCTGTCTGGATAGCATATGTGGGGAGAAATCCTTTTCCCATCATAAAAGGATCAAGAGTGCACAGATTTTAAGTAGTTGACTAAAGAGACCAGCATTTGCTGAACAAAGAAGTCTAAGGTTGATAATGCGCTGCATTGATAGTATGATGGAGGGATAACTCCAACTAAAGCAGTCAAAAAGGAATTGAGTTGTTATCCAATAAGGAAGAATGTGCAGGATTATAAAGGAAAGGATGAGACAATTGCTGTGCTTATCTGGAGAGCCAGTGCCAACACGTTAGCTGCCTTCTGTGCTTTAACAATTCTGTTTCTGTGCATCGCTAATTCTCTTTGGGAAGAGTTGGAACAATGGAGGTTCAATGTCAATAAGACATCTTGGTTCAAAATGGGAAACCTCACTTGACTGTATTAAAATCCATGCCCCACAGTTTTGCTGTAATTGATCTATCAACTTCATTATTTTACACTCCTATCTACATAACAGCATACCAATCTTGATGTTATTGGCAAACTTGAATCTATGGCTGTCTAACTTGCTAATCAGTTTGGTTCATGGGATATGGCATACCTTTTACAATAGGAAGGCAGTGCCTAGTGTTCATGTTTTAATCACAGGGGTCTATGACACAGAAAAATGCTCTTTCACCCATCGAGTCTTTCAGTCAAAAACAAGCACCTAACTATTTTAATCCCATTTTTTAATACTTTTATACTTTGGAATTGCAAGTGCACATCTTGAGTTCTTAAATGTTATGAAGGATCCTGTCTGTACCACCTTTGCAGGCCCTAAGTTCCAGATTCCCACCACCCTCTTAAATCACTGGACGAATATCCAGAGCCCGAGGCCAATGTTCGGGGTTTAAATCCCGCAATGGCAAC